TCGAGGCCTGTAGCGGGGACCCTCCTATTTAACCCATAATGGTGTTGGGTGACACGCAAACGCGCTGGCCCCCTCTCCCCAACACGCGCTTCTAGGCCGGCCCATGTGGAGGGCAGAGGCACCTCTTTTTCATTTTTAATTATTCTTTAAACATGTTTGGGATTTCAAAACAAGTTCTGAACTTCAAATTTATTTCTTCATTTTGTTTGTTATTAAATATTAGAAAATTTACAGAATATAAAAATATTCCAGCTTTAAAAAACTTTGATTTTTTCCAGGATTTTGAATATTATTACAATTTTCAATAATGTGGCAAATTTCAATAAATATTCATGAATTTTGAAATGTTCATTAATTCAAAAATACGTCCATGAATTTAAAAAATGAAAACGAATTTTAAAAAGTGTTAACAAATTCAAAAAACGTTTTATAATGGCAAAAATTGTCAATTACAAAAATGTACACGAAATAAAATTCCCAAATAAAATTTCATTTGTAAATTCAAAAATTGTTAAAGAATTCAAACAGTGTTTGCTAATTTCACAAAAAGTCCATCGATTAAAAAAAGTTTGTCTATTAATAATATCACAAATTCAAAAAAATACAAATTTTAAAAAGTTCCAGAAATTCAAACCAATGTTCACAAATTCAAAATATGTACACAAGTACAGAAAATGTTTATGAATTTCAAAATATATCAATGAGTTTAAAAAAAAGATCACTCATGAATTTCTGAACAATTGGGAGTTTGTAAATTATTCATGAATTTTAAAAAATCACATTTTTGTGAATGATTTCTACTTTTTATATAATTTATGTATTTCAAAATTGTTTGTGATTGTCAAAACTTCATGAATTTGATTTTTTTTCACAAATTTCAAAATGTTTACAGACCAAAAAAACCATAACTATGCAAATAAACAGAAATCGATTAACGGGCCAGCCCATACCGCAGACAAGGTGAGCGGCAGATCCGATATGCCGCCGTGTGCGTCCGATTATCGCTGCCTCGCCGAAGCGAACAGAACGAAAGACGAGACACGGGCTGGCTCATTTTGAGCGAGCACCAGGGTTTTTCCTGATTCTCTTTTCCTTCGTTTTTAGTTTTTCTGTTTTTCTTTTCTTTTTCTATTTCTTTTTTTCATAAATTTATCATCTTCAAAAGAAAATCAGAATTTCGATTCTTTCTTGAAAAAATCATATAATATTCGAAATTTCAAATTTTGTTCCACAATTTTGATAATTGTTCGCTTTTCTTTCGCAATATTCAAAAATCATTCACATATTTGAATTTTTTTGTTCTTATCTACAAAATTTGATCACGTTTTTCTTAAACAGTTCACTTTTCAAATTTCTGCACAATTAAAAACAATTGTTCGTAATTCAAAATTTGTTCGCAATTTAAAAAATAAATCACGATCCCAAAAACTGATCACGTTTTTTTTAAATCACTTTACGAAATTTTGTTTGGAATATTAAATTTCTTTACAATTTGAAAATAAAATCAAAATTTTGAAATAAAATATTCATGTTTTAAAAAATGTTACCTTTTTCAAATTTTGTTCAAGTTTTATTATTTTTGATAGTTCAAAAATATGTTCGGAAGTCGATTTTTTTGCAATTTCAAAAAAATGTTCACATTTCCCAAAATTTTAGTGAAGATTTTTTCAAAAACTGTTCGTTGTTAGTAGGTTTGAAAACCCGTTTTTATGTGTGAAAACTCGACTAAAAAAGCAAAGGAATAAATAAAAAATCACTGACAGGCTAAGTGGACTGGCCCATTTATGCAGACTTTCGGCGAAAGCTCCCTTGTTTGACCCTACGGGTGTGTCATACAGGAGCTCTCCTGTGTAAGGGCCAGTGCTGTCGGGAATGTAGCTGTAGGAACGGTGCTTGTGGTGCTACCGTTGCATCAGACGCCATAGTGTATTTTAAAATGTTTTACAAAATCTGATAAGAATCTAACACACTGACACAACATCAATGTATCTTAGTCAGAAAATTTCATATCAAAATTCAAAACATTACACAAGATAGAAAAAGGAAAAAAAATGGCATCAATGTTGTAATGGGCTAAATCTAAAGACCAATTTATGTTATGTACTATCTTGGTCCGAGTTTATTAGGCCTTCAGAACAAAACGCAGGTATCAAGGCACAATGATTAATTCTCTGGAATAAGTGCTGCTCCTTCGGTTCCCACACGTGTCTGTTTCGGCGCATGCAACCACACTCAATTTAATTCCCTGAAGGGCCGCTGCATGGTGCATGCATGTCCAATCAAAGAAGGATTAGAAGCCCATGCAGTGGCTGGGTTGCGTGGCGTTATTGCTAGGGAGTACTAGTACAGCTCACAGCTGGAAATTATTTGTGCTTCAGAAGATGAACCGAAAAGCTGAGGAGACTGAGGCCCTGTTTGGTTCATAAGTTCTAGGTTTTTTTTAGTCCCAACTAAAAAGTCTCTGGTCCTTAAAAAGTCCCTCAATGTTTGTTTTCAGAGACTAAAAAGTCCCTAGTCCCTTTCTAGAGATTATTAAATGATCATGTTGCCCCTAGTATATAGAGAAATAACAATCAAACAACATCATGGAGTGGCGGGCCAATAAATGCATGGAGGGGCATTGTTGGAAAAGTCCCAAAAAAGACTCACCTTGAGAGTCTTCTTCATTTAGTCCCAAATGACTAGTTTAGTCCCTAAAAAGTCTCCCCCCCCCACCGTTTGGTAAAAAAAGTCTCTAAGAGAGACTTTTTCTAGTCCCTACACAAAAAAGTCCCTGGAAATAAACACCCCCTGAGGGCATCTCCACCTTCCGTAAGATAGGTCTTGGTAAATTTGTCACCTAAGACATAGTGATGATGTAGCAATGTAATAAATGTGAAGAGAGAGCAAAATTATATGTAGAATAACCAACAACCCTTGCACAAGCTTTAAGGTGAAATAGAGAGCAATCTCATTTATTTTCTCATCATCTATTGAATATTTTAGATACAACCCATTGAAATAGTTGTATGATAGCTTGTTGGTTGATGACATGAACATTTTACCAACAAGATTAACATACAATTTATTGGAGATGCCCTGAGAAAGGAACGAAGACTTTTTGCTCTTTGGCAGCCTGATCGATGGATGGGCCTAATAAAAACGGATGAGCTCCCTCCTCCCACGGGCCTAATAAACCTGGACGAAGGGAGTAGTATTCGGTGTCAAATTTGTTATTTTTATATTTTGAGTAGTATTTTGAATTTTGATTTGAAATTTTGCGACAACATAGAGCGATGTTGTGTGAACGTGCTATTTTTTTAATAATATTTGTAAATGCCCTACGGGTATCCGAAGCACCACAAGGACCAGTGCATCAGATACATTTCCCAACGCTGCCCCCCATCTGTTATCCTCATTTTCTTAGGCTGGTCATAGTGGGAGTAACTTAGCAAGTAATATAACACACTTCAAGATTTTTTTGCTTATGTGGCAAGTAGTTAATGAAAAGTAGTAACATAATATGTTACTGTAACATAGCGCTTCCTAATACAAGATGAGTCTACAAGCTAATAAATGAAGCCATCTATGACACTACTACTATGTTACTTTGCATTATGAAGATAGTAACTTAGACTAGTGTCATATGCATGACACTAGTAGGGTGCTTGGATCCAAGGGACTATTTTTAGTCTGACTAAAAATAGTCTCTTTTAGAGGCTAAAGTTCCAAGCACCCCTGACTAAAGAGAGGCTAGGACTAGTCTTGAGGCTAAAAATTTTTAGTCATAGGAAACCTACTAAAATATGTATTAGCCCTCTCTCTCCTCATTTAATTCCTCTCCTTTAACACATGCGAGTTCTGGATTGAAGGGTTTGGAGGATAATAAATGCTCAATAACTTGATTTTAGTCTCTTTAGTATTTGAATCCAAGTATGGGTAAGGCTAACAAGTTTTAGTCCCACTACTTTTAGTCATGGGACTAAAATGTATTCAAACACCCTCTAAGTTACTCTCCACTATGACCAGCCTTAGGCCATCAATCCACTTTGAAAACCTCAATGTCATAAATGCACATACTGAACGGAGTAGCTTAGCCCTGCCAGCCTTGCTGTGATGAACCGGAGAATCTAGCTCCCTCCCATGAATGAATGAATGAATCAATCATGGCCGGCTCACGTCCCAATGCTCGGGCATGCATTGACAATTCGACGCAATTTATCTACTCCTGTTAGTTGATCAGGAGAAAACAAAATGTTCAAAACCACTTGCCACATGTTTCAGTCCAGAGAGAAAGAGATGTTCTTGTGCGGACTCGGTAGAGCAAATTAGCACGCCTCATGGCGGTTCTAGAGGTCATTAGCAGTTTGCCAGTTAGTGCAAATTAACTCGCATCATCTTGGTTAGTGGTTACTATAATCTTGTATCGCATGATGAGCAGAGTTGACCTGGTTATCAATCATAGATAGTTGGGCAGTCCCAGTGTCCACCACCAGCAGCCTATATTTTCAGCCATCATCTCGATCGAGCCCTGTTTATCCGCGTGAGTGACGCACTACACTGACAGCGACGACCACCCAAAGCAATCGCCCAAATTTTTGCCAAACTCGAGAGGATATGGGCGCAGATCGAGACATTGGGAAGCTCACCTTTCCGTCTACGTAGTACTCAGCTGCAAGCTGCGACGCCACCATTATCGGTCGTCTACTAGCTCAGCTAGCCCGAGACTTTTCGCTTATCTCTCTCTCGTAGCGCTAGGCATAATTGAAATCTACTGTACTACGTATGTTCGGTAGGTAGCCAATTGCGTCGAGGTGGGCGTACGTGCGTTCAAAAAGACTTCCCTTTCCCGTGCGTCTCTCTCACCCAGCCTCAGCGCAGTGCTCTCCATGATTAGCTCCTCTTGGAGGGCAGGAACGAACGTCATCGCGAACTCAATCGCCGCAGCCGCGGCTATATAGCCCCGGGGGTACTGCTGCACTCGCTGCTCGGAGTCGGCGAGGGAGCACGTCTACGTCGTGATGGGGTGGAGATCTGCGGCCGGCCGCTTGCTGGCGATCCTACTCGCTCTGCACCTCCTCGTCGCCTCCTCCCACGCCACCCGCTTCACGAGTGAGCAATCCCTTCTTCCACCTCAAGAACCTCATCGACTTCTCCGGTGGTTTTTCCGGTCAGGAGGCCGCTTGGAGGTGTGAACTCTTTCTGTGCTGATTTTGATGTGGGTGTGTGCAGGGAGCTACAGGATGATGGCAGTGGAGGCTCCGACGTTCCGTGGGGCTAGAGGTGATTCAGGAGAGGTGCGTACGTGCTTGATCCACTGCTTGCTTGAACACGGTTGGCTGGCTTGAGATTTACCTCTCGCTTGGGTTCACCCGCTGTTCTCGATCGCTTCTTGATCATGAGTCTGGGGGAAACGACGAGTCCATCTATATCTCTTCAGAATAGAAAAGGAGAGTAAAGAAAAGATAAAAACAAGCCGTGTCATTGTCCAACTAAGTCCGCATTTTTTTAGTAATCTGACAGTGTGATTCTTGGTGACGAGGCCACGTGATTTGGTGTTTGAGCGCAACATAATTGTAGTTTATTGTACATCAACGCGGGCATTGCTAGATCTAAATCACTTGATGAAATCATAAACCATATTCAGAGAACTGTAGTACTGTACTATGTATTTGGGTTCAGGCGATCTACTGCTCCCGGATCAAAGCTCTTGCTAGGTAATCAATGAATCAATCAATCAATCATATTGCTGAAACAGGTCAAAATGATGCAGGGCAATAGGAGGGAGAGCGACGCGATCGTGGAGGAAATGTTCGGGAGGATGGCTCTGCAGACGACCGACTACCCGGGTTCAGGCCCAAACGATCGTCACACTCCCAAGGCGCCCGGGACATGATCGTGCCATGTCAAAGTTCAGACCCTCAGCTCGCCCAGACGCACGTCATATATATAGTATATGATGTACAGAAGATTTATTAGCTCATCGACAAATTAGAACTTAGAACCCATCAAAATGGGGGATTATTCAAGTGTAAATTCGTATACGTGTGGAGGTTACTGTAAGATTGTGTGCTATGCCATTTCTATTAAGAGAAGTCCAATGCTTTTATCCAGTTTTTTTACTTTCTTGAAACTGAAGAGATGTCCCTGATACAAGTTTTTTTTAGTTTTCGCAACCAAAACATGTCAGCGCTTGCTCCTGACAAAAATCGACAGAACATAAAAACTAATAAAAAACGATAGTGTTGAGTAACGTGATTGTATTAGAAAACATATGTTAGACTAAGAAATATTCTGGCTTGCCTTGTACTCCAAGTAGATCATATACTCCTATATATATGTCCACGACGCTCAAGCAATAAAAACAACGAATTATTCCACCATCCCTTTTTCCCTTCTAACATGCTATCTATCGCAAGTCGATCCTAAACCCTAGCCGCCGCCGCTTCCGCACCTGCGCGCCGCCCCCGGGGTGGTCGGCCTCCATGATCGCCGCCGGGGGCCGCGCCGCCCGTACCTAGGGTTCGTCCGTCGGCTGTGTTGGCCGGCTGCCCTAGAGAGTCTTTTTTCCCGATCCTTTGATCCAGATTTTTCTCTCTCGCCGGTCGCTTTGATCGGCGTCTACTTGTTGGTTTTCCGGTCTATGTGATCCGGTTTGCGTCGCCCACCGCCGCCGTCGACCCAGTGCGCCTCTACTCCAACACCGGCGCGATCGGCCGGCTTCTTCAGCGACCCGGCGGCCTCGCGTCATGCGTCGGCCCTTCACCGCCGCCGTTCCGCACCGGCCCACCCGTCGATCTACGCCGGCCGTCTTCGCCCTGCTCCGACCGGGAATCCTGCATCACCCCGACACGGCGGCCTCGCGCCATGCGGCGGTCAATCATAGCCGCCCTACCGCCCGCCGGCGGCGGCTTCATCTCGGACTCTGCCGTCATCACGCCTCCACCGAGCGGCGTCCCCGACCTCGCGAGCGATCGGATTAATCACCCGCCCGCCACCGCGATCCGCCTCATCTACGCCGTGCGACCGACCTGGCCCGTCGCTTGCGCGCGCCTCCGCAGGCCCCGTGAAGACGTCCCGAGTTCAGCGCGCCCCTCTACCGGTCGAGCAACGGGCTGCCGCTGCGTCGCCCCGTCGGGCCGCCGCCCCGTGGTTCTTCTCCCAACTGCACCGACCTGCTTCACCGCTACGTTGCCCCTTCGGGCCGTAGTACCGCGGCCCGCGGTCCACCGCCGCCCAGAGGCCGTCCGCTCCAGGTCGTCCCCGTGGCAGCACTCGCGCCGCCGCCGCGTCGCCCCGTCGGGCCGTAGCGAGCGTGGCACGCGGTCCACGCCGTCCTCCCGAGGCCGTCCCCGCGGTTGCACCGACCCGCGCTCTTCCGCCACGCCGCCCCTTCGGGCTGTCGCGCCACAGCCCACGGTCCCTGCCGCTGCCTCGAGGTCTTCCCGCCGCCGTTGCGTCGCCCCTTCGAGCCATAATGCAGCGGCCCACGGTCCACTTTGTCGTCCACGCGCGTTGACTTTCCGTGGTATGCGTCGCGCCGCCTCCCTTGGCGCGGGAACACCACCGTCCGCGTCGGTCTTCGTCATGCTGTCGGGTTCTTCGCCTACTTCGAGCACCGCCGTCATGCTCCTAACCTAGCCGCCGCCGCTGCCTCAGGCCGCTGCCGCCGCTCTTCTTTGGCCGCCGCTGCCGCTACCCACGTAGCCACCGCCGCCCGTCCACCTCCTTCGTCTTCCTCCAGCACCAGCCCGTCGCCAGCGTCGCCGTCATCTACCCCGACCACTTCGTCTACTCTGACCACCGTTGGTGACATCGGCCCCGCACCGATGGACGCCGCAATCGTCGTCGAGTTCTTCTCTGCTGGCCCCTCCGACTTCTCCGACATGGCATACAGCTAGTGCAGGTCCTTCGTCTATGCATGCCCGGTGCTGGCAACACCGATGCGTGCCTGCATCCACGACGTGTCCCCGGGCCTGGCAAGCCTGGTCGGCGCTTTGTCAACTTCATCTTCGTCCGTTTACGCATGTCCGGTGCTAGCAACACCGGTGCGTGCCTTCGTCCACGATGTGTCCCTGGGCTTGGCAAACCCGTCGCGACGCGTCGTCAACAACATTTTCTTCCCGGCGCACCCCTACTTCGACACCACTACGCCCATGCTAACTCGGCGCCCCCTTGCGCCCGCGGCTCCATGGCGATTTCCTCGACACCGGCCACCCCGACTCGACATCGACCATGACATTCTTCACACGGCTACCTCGATCACGGCTACACCACCCTTGGCTCTCGGCTACATCGACAAACGGCACAAAGGGCTACCGCCTACTTGAGCAACCTCGTTGGTTTCCACTCCAGCCATGACTCCGCGATGCGTCGACCGTTACGACTGTGGAGGGGTGTCCGTCGACTTGCCTTCGGATTCTTCTCCAGTCTCATCGTCTGCGTCACTACCGTTGTGACTGCGGGGGGATGTTGAGTAACGTGATTGTATTAGGAAACATAGGTTAGACTAGGAAATATTCTGGCTTGCCTCGTACTCCAAGTAGATCATGTACTCCTATATATATGCCCACGAGGCTCAACCAATAAAAACAACAAATTATTCTACCATCCCTATTTCCCTTCTAATAGATAGAATGGGCGAGGCTAAACACTTTGGGTGTGTTACCCTTCCTCTCGCCTCGTCGTGTACCGGGGGAAACCCTTGGCAGCAACATCGTCTTCGTCGCGATCCTTCTTGGAGGTGTTGATAAGTGTCGGCGCTTCGGAGTCTTGAAACCTAGTGGAAGATCCCGGTGGGCGCAACGATCGTGAGGCTTCTCCGTTATTGTTGATCTGCTGTTGTTGGCATTTGTTTATTTTGCTCTTTCTCTGTCGTTTTTTTCGGCGTGACTATGCTGCTTCCGCCCCAGCATCTATCCATGTATGGTTTGGTTGGTTGCTTTGTATACAAAACAGGGGAAAACCTTTTTCGATAAAACACTTTGGGTGTGTTTGCTCTGAGAGGCCAAATCTGAGCTATTTGGTTGCATGGGCCGCAGGAAGAAACACACCCGCAAGAAACAAAGGCACCACTCAAACAGGCTCCGGAGAACGCTCAAATCGATTGTCTCCTCCTATGCATGCCCGGATCAGTGCAATTTACACTACATGAAGAGGTTGCAGGTTGGAATTTTGCGGGCAACCAAATATGGTGAAGAACATGGCCAGAGCTTGCATGCCCTCACGCAGCCTCCACTAGGCCAGGCTTTGGGGAAATATTTTTTAGTCTAAACATACTTTACTTTAGTGAGTAAACAAGTTTATGGGGATACAATGTAAGTCAGGCGGGTTTAAGAGCCACACATGGCGCTCGAACTCCAGACCAAAAGCATGTTTAGCGAGGCTATGTGCCTCAAAATTAGACTCTCGCCCTTCGAAGATGAATGTACAATGCTGAAAATTCCTAGATGTTTCCAAAATCTCTTTTATGATGCTTGCATAAACTCCTCCAGTATTGTTCTTGATATCATGAATCACACCTTGGGAGGCCACCAGCACATGTGATAGCGCAAGATCCGTGGCTAGCGCCAGAGCTTCACGACACGCTAACGCCTCCAGAGTGGCTGGATCAGAAATTCCCTAGTCCGGATGACTGAAGATCCCATATATTTTCCGGCTGAATCCTTGCAAACTACACTAAATGCATCTTCATTGAGATCACGTGCGACTGCACCATCCACTCTAATTTTCGCCATCCCAAGAGGTGGAGGGATCCACCTTCGCCGCCCTTGATGACGTGGCTCAAGAGCCACCGTGGTCTTCTTTGGCTTACAATCCTTTAGTTCCCTCACGTACTTCATGATAAAGTTATGTGTCGCTTGAGGGCTTTGGAAAACATTTTCATGCAAGGCATGCCTTTTCACATACCAGATTGACCATAGTGTCACTAGTACCTACGTGAATTCATCCACAGATAACATATCTATTAGAGAAAAGATCCACCTCTTCGCATCAGGTTCCTTGGTATTGTTCAAAGCTTCCACCAGTTCAGGATCTTGGAGTGCCCAAACACAACGTGACACGATACAATGGAGTAGTGAATGCTGCCACGAATCCTCGGCTCCACACAGCCCGCAACTCATCGTTGTTGACATGTTACGGTCATGCAATAGATCGGAGGTAGGGATAGACTGTTGTGCGAGCCTCCATAAGAAGATTTTAACCTTAGAAGGAACATCTATTTTCCAAAGCTTCGTCCAAGATTTTTGCTCCTTCTCCGTATTCGACGAATCAGACCGGCCCTCAAGCCAGGCTTCCCGCCTCATCTTCGTGTCAATGAGCATACGATAAGATGAACGAATTGAGAAAACTCCGTTCTTCTCATGAACCCAGGACCACAAATTTTCAATATGTCGCGTACATAAAGGTATATTCAAAATCGCTGCCGCATCAGTGGGGAGAAAAGCATCTGCAATGGTTGCATGATCCCATTCCGCCCCCGGTAAGATCAGCTCGCCAACATAGTTTGGTGGATTAGGTACTCGGGATACAATGGGACGCATGTTTGATGGCCTAGGGAGTCAGTTATGCTGCCAAATTTGTGTTGATTGACCATCTCCAATACGATGGATGAGGCCCTGTACGAGGACATCACGTCCTTCTAAAACTGATCTCCAAATCTGCGATGGATTCGATCCCAACTCTGCATTCAGGAAGTCGCAAGTGGGATGATACTTGGATTTTAGCACACGTGCACTTAGTGACTCTGGCTGCAAAAGAACTCGCTGCTACCTCTTGAGCACTGCGTTGGTTTTCCCTTGAAGAGGAAAGGGTGATGCAGCAAAGTAGTGTAAGTATCCCTTAGTTTTTGAGAACCAATGTATCAATCCAGTAGGAGGCCACACGCAAGTCCCT